CCCTAAACCCCACACCCCTAAACCCTCAAGACCGAGGCCACCAATCTCTTCGGAACCTCGGCCCTGGAGAGCGCCTGTGCCCAGGGCTCGCGGGCAGCTCTGGAGGAGCCCTCGAGCTCGGGGTTTAGGGGTTTAGGGTTTAGGGTTTAGGGTTTAGGGTTTAGGGGTTAGGGGTTTAGGTTTTAGGGGTTAGGGGTTTAGGGCTTAGGGTTTAGAGCCCTGTAATTCCTAACCCCGCAACCCTGTAAAACCCTAAACCCTAAGCCCTAAACCCTGTAAGCCCTACACCCTAAGCCCTAAACCCTGTAAGCCCTAAACCCTAAACCCGACACTCCAAACCCTGCACCCCAAGCCCTGGTTGAGGGTTTAGGGGAGCTGTGCAACCGTGTGTGTTCTCTGTGGCAGGGTCCGGATGGTTTTGAGGACGTAAAGGTTTGTAGCGGCCGAGTTGTTTTTTGTGCATGGCTTTAGGAGTTCAGTGGCTAAGCTCAGCGTTAGTTTTGTGGTGGAGAGGTGATAGTAACGGACTTGAAAGGCTGCTGTATTATCCCAGGGGTCCTAAACCCTCAACCCTAAACCCTAAACCCCCTTTTTGTTGAGACCTGCTGGGGCTTCCAGGGCTTTGTTGGCCAAGCCCTAGAGCCGAAAACCCGAAACCCCTGCACCCCTAAACCCTAACCCCTAAACCCTACAACACTAAACCCTAAATCCACTAAACCCTCAACCTTAAGACCTTAAAACCCTAAACCCCTAAACCCTAAACCCTAAACTTTAAGACCTTAAAACCCTAAACCCCTAAACCCTCAACGTTGAGGGTTCTTTGGCTTGTGCGGTTCAGGTCTAGGGCTGCTGGGTGGGTTTAGGCGTTTGGGGCCTCGGGATTCTGGGGTTTTGTGCTTGAGCGTTCTGAGGGCTTAGGGTTTAGGGTTTAGGGTTCTGAGTTATGGAGATTGTGGGGTTTAGGGTTTAGGGTTTAGGGTTCAGGGTTCTGAGTTATGATATGGGATTTAGAGATTGTGGGGTTTAGGGTTTAGGGTTTAGGGTTTTGGGTTATGCTATGGGATTTAGAGATTGTGGGGTTTAGGGTTTAGGGTTTTGGGTTATGCTATGGGATTTAGAGATTGTGTGGTTTAAGGTTTAGGGTTTAGGGTTTTGGGTTATGCTATGGGATTTAGAGATTGTGGGGTTTAAGGTTTAGGGCTTAGGGTTTTGGGTTATGCTATGGGATTTAGAGATTGTGTGGTTTAAGGTTTAGGGTTTAGGGTTCTGAGTTATGATATGGGATTTAGAGATTGTGGGGATTAAGGTTTAGGGTTTAGGTATGATATGAGATTTAGAGATTGTGAGGTTTAAGGTTTAGGGTTTAGGGTTTTGGGTTTTGGGTTTAAGGTTCAGGGGATTAGTGTCAGATCAATGAACCTGAAGGGAGGGGCAGTACGTGAGGGCCATGCTCAGCTCTGGTATATCTTGGGTGACTTGGGTGTCCTGCTGCTCCTGCGGCATATTTATGGCCAACTGCTTGCCATGACTGCGACATGTGGTGCTTATGTCCCTTTGGGTTTAGGGTTTAGGGCTTAGTTTGGTGCTTGATTCGTGTCTTTGTTGCTGTACTGTCAGCAACAACGGCACACATGTGTGTTGCCACTAGGTTTGTCCATGATTGGCAGGGTTGTTGATCCTTGTGTCGTACTTTCGCTGTTTCCTCTGTTATTATATGGCGGTTATGGCCACTAGCATCGCGATTGAGGTTCTCATGTGTTACGATGCTGGTGACCATGAGTCGTTTCAGTGATGCCGTTGTGGTTGTTGTTAGCCTCATGCATCAGAATGCTGCAATATATGATGATCACCTACCCTCCACCCCGTAAGCCCTCAGCCCATACTTGCAGAGAGAACCCTGTCCCAAACCATCAAAATGCAAGCATTGTTAAAGCTTCGAAGCCCCAAGAGACTCTGTTTTCGTACAGAGTCGTAGAAAGCCTTCAAAAGCCGACCCACGCACCCCCAAACCCTGAACGCCATAAAGTACTTATCCTGAAATGGTTGCGATTTCAAACCCGGAAAGGCTTAAGGGCTGAAGCTTCCAAGCCCCAAATCCTACTCGCACAAGCCTAAGCCCTAGACTAGACCCTTCTACCTTGAAATCGCCCTCGTCGAGGCTAAACCTCTCAGAAGAAGCAACCAACCAACACACACACACACACTCACTCACTCACACCAGCAATATCAGTTACAAACCCTGTAGCGCCCAAAGAAGGGCTGGCCCTTGGAGAGGCACATCCTAGAATTAGCGCAAAAAAGAAAAGAGACTCTGAGACAAGTATATATATATATATATATTTTTAAATCAAACGAAACAAACTACCAAGCCAATACAACAGAACAGCCCTGAAACCTACACCCCTAAACCCCTAACGCCTAAACCCTAACCCCTAAACCGCAAACCCTAATCTCTCAACCCTACCAAACCCCAAAAAGTTGGAAACCGGATTAAGGACAAACAGTGCTGGGATTCCCTATACATTACTCTTAATTAAGAATTGAGGCCAGTGGGTTTCCAACTGTTGGGCTTCTACTGTAAACCCTAAACTCAACAAAGAAGCCACTTTTCCCAGGAGCTCCTGCTTACCGGGGCCCTGGGACACCTGGAGCTGTCCCGGGCGCTGGTGGAAGCGGGCTGCTCGCGAGGTCCTCTTAGGGTTGACGGCTTTTGAGGGTTTAGGGTTTAGGGTTTAGGGTTCCGGGGTTAGAGTTTAGGGTATTTTGTGGTTCTAGGGGTTTGGGTTTAGGGTATTTTGGGGGTTTTAGGACTTTAGGGTTTTAGGTTTTAGGGGTTTAGGGGTTTCGGGGTTAAGGGGTTTTAGGGTTTAGGGTTAAGGGCTTTGGGGCTTTGGGGCCTGAGGGTTTTGAGGTTTCAGGATTTAGGAGTTTAGGGTTTAGGGCTTAGGGTTTCTATTGGGGCCTGGAAAGCGTAGGGTCTTAAGGGTGTAGGGCTTGAGGCTTTAAAGAGTAAGGCATTGGGGCTTTTAGGATTCAGGGTTTAGGGTATTCTAGGGTTTGGGGTTTAGGGGTTTAGGGTCT